GCAGAGATCCTCGTGATTGGCTTACATTATTGTATCTAGTGTGCGCCGGGCTTAACCGTGTGCGGGGCAGCTTTAGCCTTCTTGGCTACTTTTAGGTCTAGCGTCGCGCGCGTTTATCACTTTCTCGGTTTCTGACATGAATAAAACTAAGCAGCTTTAAAAATCGTTAAATCACGTCCTACACTAGGTAATTATTATCTTACTATGATGCAGCCTTGTCTCCAGAACGGGCATGGTTCTGGTAATACGTACGTATTATTAAGGTTGTTGTACTTACAAAAAATTATGAACACAGACTCTGGTGCGATTGCAAGGTGACCCACAAATTCCTTCGAAGGTACTTAGGCGGAAAAGTGGTGTGACAATTTGTTTAAGTAGCCGCACAAAAACATGCCTATCATAACGAATGATTGGTATTTTAACAATTTATGATTATGTACTGTAACAATTTGAGCAGTTTCATTTGTGAGCATTCAATCGCAGACAACATCAGTTGAAAGTTCCAGCAGGTATAACACGCTGACTACAAGCAACCAATCCACGTTTACGCTAACTTTAAGAAATTATATCGTGATGTCTTGTTGCTGCGAAGTTGACTTATCTAGAATAGTAATAGTAATATCTACATTGACCATTTATTGACTCATTCTTATCACGTGAAACACATGAATGTATAGCAAATATGTGAATCCTAATTCACTGCTGAACTTTCTACGGAACATATTTTAATCTTGTTGGTGATTTCACAGCGTTGTTTAAAACGGCGCACGCGAGGCCGGAAGAGTGGCCTTACTGGTACTGCCTGCACTGGCACTAGGCCTACGCCTACACGGCTACGTGAGTACTGGCATGCTGTCTGTATAGTTGTCAGGACTAGCCTCAGCGGCTAGCCCAGCCTACGGAGAAATTTCAGGATTGATTGATGTACGTTACAAACGGCAATCGCTAGCCATTTGCGTGTACCCGTTAGCAAATGTGACTTGTTATTTCTATTTGTAACCTTCATATTGTAAACCTGGAGTTTCTGGGCCTAAGCCTAAGCTAAGGCGAAGACTTAAATTTTCGTCTTCAAATTATGAACAGGATAGTGTATTACTATTAGCGCGTCTTTTTATACACGCGGTTGGCCCAAGGGATAGAGAACGATGGTCCAAATAGAGAATTGTCTGTCTTGACGTAGAGTGAGATTTACGCGATTATTTAATTGAAGACACAATGTGCCTTTTGAGGGCGGCAGACGATGCAAATGAACACTTCAAGAAAACATGTTTCCAGACTCACAGAATAGCCCAAAAAGTATTGGTTGCAAGACATACAAAAACACGCTGAAATTGAAGCGTGACGTGAGAAATTGCAACTCGTTACCGGTGTTTTGAATACATGTAATTATACTATAGTAACCTAACTGTGTACGCTCTTCTGAAAAAGTCACTGAAAAAGTGTTTTGAATCCTAACTCGTTAGGGTTGGTCTAGGGTTGAGATGGTCATCAGACAATGAGAATATGGCCACAGTATGCCTCGAGACTTGCCAGGAAATGCCTGAAATATTTCAAATTTTCTGGGGGGGGCAGTGCCCCCACGGACCCCCCTAGCACTGTCATGCCAACGGCTTCTCTATCGTGAACCCCACGCGTTTGTACTTGATACTATTCCACTAGGCTTTGGATTACCTACTTTCTCAGCAAATTATGTGACTTAGACTTGTACAACTAGCAATGCCAGTCTGATGACATCACAGGCGAATCAACAGATTACACCATTTGAACTTACAGAGGATGATTTAATAAAATCGTAACTTGATATTTTCGTTGAGCTATAAAATCTATCTCAGAATGTAAAGTAATAATAGTGCTGTATCTATTTTTAGCATTTGCAGTGAACGGGTGTTAGAAAAAATAGGTTTTATAGCAGTGTGTATTACGTTTCCAAACTGATGGAATTAGCCTTATTATATGCGGCCGTCTTATGGCCATGCAATAAATTTGACTGGGATTGGCACAACCCCCAGCCCTCCTCTGATCCATGCCGTAATGACGATCCATTTTAAAAATTCCTGGCGTAGAAACTTTGAATACGATGGCCTCAAAGCGTGTATGCGAGTTTTTTGGCGCAGAAAAACTAACATTATGCTGAATATAGTCACCACGCTCGAACAGTGGAAATAATCACTGAGTATTACCAACAGATCAAAACACCAAGATTTTATGCAGTTATAGCCATAGAAAAAATGGATCTTGACCACATCGTACTAGCAATAAATATTAGTGTGTTCCGACTCTCAAAATCACAGCATGTGTCTTAAACAAGTGCACATTAAACAAAAGGGCGAGGCCAATTCTGTTTGGTAAACTATTATTGCAGTTTTTATGTCAATAAATTCAGAGCCCACTTTCTGTCATTGTCATTCCGTGTTGACTATCGACTGGCAATTCCCACAAGCTTCTCTAAATAACAGACTTTACGTCAGTAGTACGATACAACTGCTGTTACGCTAGTATGAACTGTCTGTGATTTACACATTTCTACAGTGCCCGACGTATGCATTTAATTACTGCACCGTGATAGAATGTCTCGCCTGCCGCCCGAAAAATTCCGCATGAATGCCAACGGTAAACAGAAACAGAACGCAAATTGTAACGTGCATGATTTCATTGATTTGGTGAATACGAAGGTTCTAAGACATATTTATCGCTTACTCTAGGACAATTGCTGTTACTCAAGCCAATAACGGGAGTATCATGAAGTGGGAAAACACTGGAAAATTCGTCGCAATACGACGCCTTTAAGTTAGATGTGCTATCACATTAATAGTCTATTCGTATTCAAAGTATTTATATTTTCTAAAAACGGTATGTTGCCAGTAAACACACAGTGGCTTTATCAAACACAAATTGACATGTTGCCATTAGACAATAACACATAAACTAAAAATCACAATTTATCGAATGCGTGGTAATTTAAATGTCATTTATATTGGTTCTTTAGTTTGAGTCATAACTACATAATCCTCATTGTTTTGCCGTTTATTTTACATGCAGATATGTGCAAAGCCACGAGGCTCGTGTAGTCAACCGTGAAATTGGTGCTCCCAGCTCCATGCAACATAAGAAAAATGGAAATAACAGACGCAATATGCGTGAAAATGAATCTAAAAATAGCTAACTAATGAATCTGATACAGTGTGGCGCTTAACTAAAGGTGAGAGCAAATATATGGTGTAAAATCAGATTTACATTCATTTTTATCTCTTAGAAGTCAAAATTTTGACAACATCTATCATTCCATTTGAGTTGCCAAGAAAGTAAAATTATGGCTACACATTAGTAAGCTAATAATCTACTTTGGTGTAAAACAGATCTCATATGAAATAATTCAGGTAATTGTTGAGAAGTGTAGGTGCATGTAGCTAATAAAGTCAGTAGTTAGGTACCTCGTTAAAACGTGATTGGGTTGTGTGCGGGTCCATAATCTGTCATGCGAAAAAGCGGGTTTGCGACTAAATGCGCGGCGTTCAAAGTATATGTGGCTATAGCCAGTGATTCACACGATCCACGTCTGACCGACCGTAGTCGCCAGTAATGCTTGTCCGCGTCGCATACAACCAGAGCTGACTGGTCGTGTTAGAATTGCGTCATATATATTGCACTGAAAAGGTCACCACCTCTGCCTAGCTGGTTCGCGGCCGCACTTTGTCGCACGACGAGCCCTGCTGTACTTGGTCTAGCAGATCGTAGAGATTTGCGTGAGCGCCGGATACCGTCTACGCTGCGGCAAAAACCAATAACGTGGCTTCTGCCAGCCGCAGTAGATGATTGATAAACCATTGCGCTCGTGTATGCCGTGGTAGAGTACGAATGCTGCCCACTTGAACTCGGGCCACGCATCGATTAAAGCGCGAAACAGATCTATTGAATTTCATACTCGATGACAACACTCATTATCTAAATAAAGTTTTTTCATAACAATGGTCTGGAGTCTGGGCTAGTGAAGTTAGTCAGGGCTAGTGTTTCCTCAGTTACTAGCCCGATGGTCAGTGAAATAAAGTTAATGTTGAACCCTGCTATATAAGAGCCAAAAAAGGGGGGTCCAACGACTCACGCGTTTATACGAATTCGCCGTTAAAAATTGGGCCGCATAAATCGGGGCGTTCCACTGTCGTTCCAAAATTGTTGTTTTGCCTCCTTTATCTTTGCATTAGACATTGGTGATTACCGAAACTGTCAACAACTTCTATTAATTTCAATAATTACTCACAATAAATTAAATATGTTTATATATATATATAAATAAATATTGTCATGAATGATTACCTAATTAAATGCATAAATAATATTCAAATGTAATTATGAGCTAATTCGTATTTGTATATGGCGATATATATAGCATATCTGTTAGGAATGGAAAAAAGGTAGCATGACAACCTTTTAATATTTCAACTGTATAATAAATTAAAGGATTCATTAAGTATTAGCAGAGTTACTTAATAGGTTAATTGTTTTTTTTTTTTCATTGGTAGACATGG